TGCTATACAAACATCAAGTAAGGGGCGGCCCACAGAAGCAGTATTTAACAGTATACCTCAAGAGTCACAAGGTTGTACGCTCTACTTAATTCATCACCCGATGTTTAAGTCTCTGCTGCCTTGTAGTGCACCATCATGTACAACCTCCTGTCGTATGTGAGGTGGTGTCAGGAGAGTGAGGGTAGGGGGGGGATTATGGTGGTAGGGTGGGTAGTAGTGGTGGTGGTAGGGACAGTAAAATATTAAGTAAATGTTCAAGTTATGGTGGAACAATACAAGTTACTAGTGGGTAAATTACTAAAGCAAGATTACTAATTCTATCTTCTGAAAAAAATTTCCTTGTAAATTATTTAACTTATAAGTAAATGTATATAATAAAAGTGGAGGTGACGCAGCAACAGACACCATTACTGTAGGTGAAGCAAAACAAAGTGGCGGGTTAGGCTGAGGGAGGACGGCGCTAAATATATGTCCTTATTTTTACCCATCGATTTTATGACTCGCCAATTTTGTCGCTTGACTTAATCTGTCATCTCTGTTTTATAACAAGGGTGTGTGTGTGTTTCTAAGATAATCTCTCTCTCTCTCTCTCTCTCTCTCTCTCTCTCTCTCTCTCTCTCTCTCTCTCATTTCTCAAGATAGTCTCTCATTCTACCTCGTGTTAATGTGTCTCTCTCTCTTTTACAGGTGAGTGAAAAAGACGGCGGGTGACCAGGTGCGGGAGGGTAAGCAATCTGTAATTTGGCAACCAGACGCACTGTGTTGCAAACTAACCACGAACCCAACCAGACGCACTGTGTTGTAAACTTACCACGAACCCAACGAGACGCACTGTGTTGTAAACTTACCACGAACCCAACGAGACGCACTGTGTTACAAACTTACCACGAACCCAACCAGACGCACTGTGTTGCAAACTTACCACGAACACGAGCCTAACCAAATTTAATCTGAAAACTAAAACCAATCTCACATAACCTGAGTTAAATCAACAATAAACAACAACCAATATAACTTAACGTCACTAACATCTCTCCCTACCTCACCTAACTAAAATAAACCTAACCTAACCAAATATATTATAACCTAAAGAGTTTCAATAGGTTAATAAGTTAGATTTTTGTCGGTAGATTATTGCAGCCTTGGTTTAGATAGTCTCCATAAACCAGGCCTCACCAGTTGGTTGTTTTCACTGCACCATACCCTGTCTTTATTACTCACCAGTTGGTTGTTTTCACTACACCATAACCTGTCTTTATTACTCACCAGTTGGTTGTTTTCACTGCACCATAACCTGTCTTTATTACTCACCAGTTGGTTGTTTTCACTACACCATAACCTGTCTTTATTACTCACCAGTTGGTTGTTTTCACTACACCATACCCTGTCTTTATTACTCACCAGTTGGTTGTTTACACTACACCATAACCTGTCTTTATTACTCACCAGTTGGTTGTTTTCACTACATCATAACCTGTCTTTATTACTCACCAGTTGGTTGTTTTCACTACACCATAACCTGTCTTTATTACTCACCAGTTGGTTGTTTACACTAACATTACATAACCTGTCTTTATTACTCACCAGTTGGTTGTTTTCACTACACCATAACCTGTCTTTATTCACTCACTACACCATAACCTCTTTATTACTCACCAGTTGGTTGTTTTCACTACATCATAACCTGTCTTTATTACTCACCAGTTGGTTGTTTACACCATAACCTGTCTTTATTACTCACCATCATACACCTGTCTTATTACTCACCAGTTGGTTGTTTTCACTACATCATAACCTGTCTTTATTACTCACCAGTTGGTTGTTTTCACTACACCATAACCTGTCTTTATTACTCACCAGTTGGTTGTTTACACTACACCATAACCTGTCTTTATTACTCACCAGTTGGTTGTTTTCACTACACCATAACCTGTCTTTATTACTCACCAGTTGGTTGTTTTCACTCACCATAACCTGTCTTTATTACTCACCAGTTGGTTGTTTTCACTACATCATAACCTGTCTTTATTACTCACCATTGGTTGTTTTCACTACACCATAACCTGTCTTTATTACTCACCAGTTGGTTGTTTTCACTACATCATAACCTGTCTTTATTACTCACCAGTGGTTGTTTTCACTACACCATAACCTGTGTTATTACTCACCAGTTGGTTGTTTCACTACACCATAACCTGTCTTTATTACTCACCAGTTGGTTGTTTTCACTACACCATAACCTCTCTTTATTACTCACCAGTTGGTTGTTTTCACTACACCATAACCTCTCTTTATTACTCACCAGTTGGTTGTTTTCACTACACCATAACCTGTCTTTATTACTCACTAGTTGGTTGTTTTCACTACACCATAACCTCTCTTTATTACTCACCAGTTGGTTGTTTTCACTCCACCATAACCTGTCTTTATTACTCACCAGTTGTTTTCACTCCACCATAACCTCTCTTTATTACTCACCAGTTGGTTGTTTTCACTACACCATAACCTGTCTTTATTACTCACCAGTTGGTTGTTTTCACTACACCATAACCTGTCTTTATTACTCACCAGTTGTTTTCACTCCACCATAACCTCTCTTTATTACTCACCAGTTGGTTGTTTTCACTACACCATAACCTCTCTTTATTACTCACCAGTTGGTTGTTTTCACTACACCATAACCTGTCTTT